CACTCATAAACCTCAAACCGTCGTGTTCTTTATTCTCTCTCTACATGCATCCCATCCGGACGCATCGCAGAAATCGGCCCACATTTTCCAGCAAAATCGGCTGTTCTAGCGAATGAGTGTAGCCATCTACGCCACGTCGATTCCAGGAATGTTTGACACCGTTTTTCATTCAACGCTACTTGAAGACATTGAGGCTACCTTTCTTCCACAGGGACCCAAACGGTGGTCGGTCGTCAGTCGTCAGTCTTCCGAGATGAAACCTCAAAACCTAGAAGAATTAAACAAGGGGTTCTTCAGGGTGGTGTCCTCTTCGCCTTACCGTTTATAACGTTGTAACGTTTATTTGTATGTAGGTGATGTAAATCCAGCTTAAAATCGACCTTCTATCAGATTTTTAATGTGTGTACTCTGTAAGAACATCCTGTTGATAGACTTCATAAACAAATAAATAAAAATAGAACGCAAGCGAGATTTGCTAGCATGTGAAGACGGCCGGTTATAATTCAATAGCTTGGGTAAAAAAGTACTCCAATGAAAACTTTTTCTTTATTAAACCTCAAAGCTTATAAAGTCAAGCATAATTAATTTTCTACTAAAAAAAAATTCATTTGCTTAAAAAAGATTTACATACAAATCCGTGAATTTCTTTTTGCCAGCAAACCATTTTTACTGCTGGCAATGATGAGAATGTGCTGACATTTCGCTGAATACAGTGACGTTCACGAAACGTCAAAGCAATGTGCGAAATGTCAACCCGTTTCTCTTTCTCTATATCCGGTCAGCCATAAGACCTGTAAGTGGAATTTGTGCTTGAAGTGAAATTTAATCGAAAAAATCATGTGAAATATTAAGAAATCGCAGCAAATCGAGCAAATGAAATGATAAACAAACCAGCAAATTATACGATGGTTAATATATTGTAACGCACTTTCCTAATATAAATGCTGAAAAAGTGTGTCAAAGTTGGCCAAATTTTTCACGGACCTACCAAGAATGCAGTTCAGTGAATAGACTTGAATTATTTTGCTGTACTCCGAAATTGTTATTGCTTTTGTGATTTCAAATATTTCACCTGATTAATTCATGATTACTTGTGACTTCGTTGCCTTTGCATTTTAAATTCTGTGTTAAAACTAACCACAAAAATATTTCTATCTTACATGTATCGTCTAACTTCGCCACTGTAATCGTCAATGCATTTGCTACAACGCTAAAAAACTTTTGTTTGCACGCTTACAACAGCCTTCAAGATGAGGAAAATTATGAAACAAGGTAAAATCGTAATCGTCCTTAGTGGACGTTACGCGGGTCGTAAGGCCATCATTGTGAAAACTTCAGATGACGGCACACCGGAGAAGCCCTTCGGACACGCGCTTGTCGCTGGTATCGATCGGTATCCACGCAAGGTGACCAAAAAGATGGGCAAGAACAAGTTGAAGAAGAAGTCCAAGATAAAGCCTTTCTTGAAAGTGTTGAACTACAATCATTTGATGCCCACCCGTTATGCTGTGCACGATATCTCGTTCGAAAAATTGTCGCCAAAGGATCTTAAAGACCCTGTTAAGAAGAAGACACATCGTTTCCAGACGCGCGTCAAATTTGAATCCACCTACAAGGAGGGCAAGAACAAGTGGTTCTTCCAAAAGCTGCGTTTCTAAACCAACAACATTTGGATTACTTGATACGTAGTTAATTAAGCCCCTTTAATTTTTATACATTTAAAAACATAATTTTCTATGTTTTAATTGTGTGGAAGAAGTGTTAGAAGTGATACAGTTGGTGGTAAGATTGTTGGAATCCAAACAACAGCAGTCTTTAAATAAAGTGATTCTAAAAATCAAATACAAGGTGTCTTGATTCAGTTTACGGAAGTGGAGAAGTTTTTGAATTCAGGGCAATGTTTTGGTTTTGAAACCGTCTACATAGTTATACTAGTAAACAAGTAATTTCTAAGCAAAATATTCAACCGATTTCAATGCTCGCATACAAATTTAGAAGTACCATTAATTTCTTCACGAGCCAATGATCGGTACTAAACCAAATTAGTATAGTACCAGCACTGAGGCGTCACCCTTCCGATAAAAAAGAATTATCAAAAAGGGGCCAGTTGGTCTATAGTTATCTGGTAAAACAATATAGATGCTCCGTTAGAAAATTGAATATGCGGATGTAAATAATTTGTTTACAGAAGATTGTTTATGACGCTTGTTGGATATTGAAACCTAACCTCGCACTCTTATGCTGAAAAATGCAAATGAATTTTATGCATTGCATACTTTCAGGCTTGAGAATGATCAAGAGGAAAATCAAGTTCTGCAAACTTTAGTTAAAAAATCAAAACAAGAATTAACGTTTTTTTTTTGTTAAAATTTTTTTTAGGACTATATTGGGGAGGCTTCTGAAAATAAATGAATTTTAACCGCGTTTTTCAACTAAAATTTCAGAAACATCGTTTATTCGGGGTTATTGTTGAATCCATCGTGACTCGATTTATCTGAAAATAATCTCTGAATCCGATTCGATACAGCGTATAATTCTAAATATATCATCGTAATTAGTAAGTACCCGTCTATGGTACACGTAAACATTTCGGCATCCCAAATATATAAAGCTTTAGTTTTGGTTTTTTTTTGTTTACAATTATTTTATTGATGCGAACAAGGTTGCCTTTTGCCCACTGTATGAGATTTTAACATGATTGTGGTTGACAGAACTGTAGGGCGATACAATTATTCAAGAAATAATGTAATGTTCGAATACAAATCATTTTTTCTTAATTTAACTGTTTCTGCTCAAACAAAATCAAAAAAGCAAAAGCACATTGATTTATAAAAATATGTATGTACGTGGGTCTTTTACACAACTTTCCAATCGGCTGAATAAAAACGAAAGTTAAGTAGTTAAGAACTTGTAGTACAATTTTAAACTATAAGGAGATGGCAACAAACGATTCTACAACAAGCTTACATATTTATTAGGGTTTGCCTAAGTATACTCTTCTAAAGGTTAGAAAAAAGGGAAACGCGCTACAGCCAAACGCCACGCAAAGGTTAGGCCGAATTCCTTTCTTCTACGCCATACTATTCAAGCATCATTTTTGAATCTGTAAAAAAGGAATATCTTTAATTGGTTTGAAAATTATGAAATCTATCGTATAAGTATCGTGTAATTTTGAATTTACCTTCTATTTATCATCCTAATACGCTGACAGGCAACACAGGGAGTTTTACAAAGGCATTGATGCAACGCTTTCTCATTAGTAGCGCACGATCGGTTTGAGGTTTGAACATCGAAGCGGGCAGACATAACAATAAAACACATTGCAGCTGGGCACATGGGCATATGACTTGGATTTTTAAGCTGGATTTAGGACTTTTTGACTTTGGACATCAAATCATATGTACATATGTATATTTATAAATTGTATACCAATTAGCTTAGTTGCTGAGGAATAATACGTTTTAATATTCGCGTTTATAGTTGTTAAGACATATATAAATATAAATAATACGTATGATCAGCAGTCAAATATCGTTAATAATAATCCAGGTTCCGTAAATGTTTAAAAATTTTCCTAATGTACACTATTTTTTTAATCGCGGTATTGTCCTTGTCGCCTTTATTTGTGTAACGGTGCATGGTGTGGGATCCCACATAACCAGTTTTTGTTATAGGTTGACAGTTAAACGGTTATCGGAAACGAATGTGCGGGACAGGCAGCGTGAAAGAAATTTTTGGTTTGTGATAGAAATGGACAAAATTTAGTTTAATATACAACAAAATATATAATTTTGAAATAAATACCAAATCAAATTTACAAAGAAAGCAGGCCTCGTAAAAAACGACGCAGAAAATAAAGTAGATATAGACTAGAACAAAAGACTACGAAGTGAAAGCTGAAGTGGCCACAAGGGCTGCCGAAACCAAATATAGTGTGGAGATATAAAGCCACAACATACATATTACATATTTAATGTGACTCTGTGTTCAAATGTGCGGGTGCAAAGTTGGTAAGTGGTGGTATATGTATTTGACACTAGGAAATGCACTGTTGTTATTTGCAAATATATGTATATGCCCGAGAAGTGTGTGTGTAGTTTTTTTTTCAAATAATAGCTATAAAATGCTAACAATCGAAAAATAAGTTTTACTAAAAATCTGCCTAAAATTTGTATCAATAAGCAAAGCAAAAGATATAGCATAGCATTTTATACAGATAGAAATTATTATTAGAGGAGGAAAGTTAGTAGCATAAGGATGTTAGAGTTGGGCAAATCAATATTGTTTTGTTATAATTTGTATAAATAAAAATAAATAGCCATAAGCGAAGCGTAACAAGATAACAAATTCGTAATAAAATACAGGCCTAGTGTTGTAAACGTGTACATACAATAACATATATGTAATTACAAATTCGATAGACATACTGGATATATCGCAAAAATCTTAAACATTCAATGCGTACATGTAATTAAAATTTTTCAGTTTAATTGATTGCACTGTTCAAATTCAATTTTCAAAAAAAAAAAAAACAAATGATCAAGCAAATGTGCTATAATAGTAGAGGCATGCATTGAAGGATTAAATTTGGTGTATAATCTAAGTACATCATATAGGCAATAAGAAAAAAACTTATTGTCATTAGGAAAATTGTCACAGGTGGACTAGGCACTTGAGAGAGTCTATGTATGAGTGTATATGATTGCTTTTACCAGTTCACTCGCTTTTTGGCCAAAATCTTGAGAATATTATCAACTACATCAGTACTAGAAGCGGTACCACCCAAATCTAAAAGAAAAGTAAACACTTGTAGTAAAATGTGGCTTAAAATGTTATGTAATTTTTCTAACCTGGCGTGCGGATACCATCATTAACCACAGTTTCATAGGTTGCTTCGTAGATTACACGTGCATGTTCTCTGCATCCTAGATGGTTTAACATATCTGCGCTGGCGTTGATCATTGCCACGGGATTAGCAATATTCTTACCAGCAATGGCTGTACCCGTGTTACGAGTGCCAGGCTCGAAAACGGCAAACTAAAAAAAATTATAAAATGAAAATCTAGTTCCTGAATTACGCAATTACATAATAATTAAAATATACATGATCGCCATAGTTGGCGCCAGAGAGTAGACCAGCGCCGCCAATTAAACCGCAAATAACGTTGGAAACGATGGTGCCATACAAGTTGGTCATGTTCATGACATCGAACTGCATGAAAAATTAGTTGAACATTGAATCGTATTGAGTGTGTATAATTTAAGTTTACCTGATGTGGGTTGGACACTAATTGCATGCATGTGTTATCAATAATCATGTTGTTATGTTCAATTTCAGGATATTCCTTGTGTACAGCTTTTGCCACGTCAAGGAAAAGGCCATCAGATAGCTTCATAATGTTGGCCTTATGGATGGTGGTCACCTTCTTGCGGTTATTCTGTCGCGCATACTCGAAAGCATAACGCGCCACGCGCTCGGCATTTTCAACGGTAACCACTTTCATGCTTTCTACAACACCGCGTACGGATTCATGTTCCAACATTGCATACTCACCATCGGTATTTTGACGAATGAGTACAATATCAATGTTCTTATGGCGTGATGGTATACCGGGATATGAGCGACAATGCACAACATTTACGTACAAGTCGAGTTCGTTACGAATCGCTACGTTACGAGAAATCTCATCTAAGCCATGCGATTTCGTTTCAATATTACCCTTAATGGCAACACCATTACGCTTAATCGAAGTGATGGCGTATTCCAAGTCTTCATTGCCCTCAGTGGAAGGATCGATTTCTATGGTTTCGAAATCAACAGGTGCACCAACGAAACGGAAGATCCCGCGAATGTAATGCATAAGTTCTGGACCTATGCCACCACCGGGCAGCATTGTGACAGCGTGACGACCCCCATATTGTGCAGATGGTATATCAACACCCTAGGTAATATATATAATGATTAACCTCACTTTTGATAACATTACGTTTATAATGCTGCAGTCAGGAATGGAAGCAATAAAAACGTACCGTCCATTTCTTTTGAAGAGACGATTTAGTATGCGCCACATCTTCGGACTTTTCCTTGGTCACCAGCAGCGGATAACCCTGCATAAAACATAAAATATTAGGTAAATAAATTACAGTATTTTTGTTAACAGTTTCTTATGTAATTTTGCTTATCAGAATACACGGTTTAAAGCTTTCTACTTCGAATTTTCAATACGTACACGTGTCAGAAAGGGCACTTGATTTTGCATTAAACGTTGTGTAAAACGCAAAGCCATTTTAATGTTTTCTTTAACAACTTTTGCTTATTTTAATTGGTAAATAATTTTGCAAAATTAACTTTGCCAAATCTGATTCGGTCACCGCACTGCTGCTTCAGTTTCAAAGTGCAGTTTACGATAACTCCGACTGTGAATAGGTGGAAAAGTGATGCCGGATATTTGGGTTTCATTAATCTGATACCAGATATAATTTGTGGCTTCGCGTACCATTTACCTTGTTTATATGGCATTATACGAGGTATCGAATTAACTCGTGTCAGTGTAGCTCGCTTGAAATGCAAGTGTTTATATTGTTACGATTATCCTCGAAACTTTGAGGGATTTCCCCACGGTGCAACGAACAAAGTTGGCGCCGTCAGTGGTACCGCTACTTTGGTTTTGCCGATTTTGACAGTTGTGGTAACTTGTAAATAAACCTTTACTTACAAATCAGCGGCAAGGGAAAGTTGAATTATAAGTGAAAAATCAGCTTATATTGTGTTACATTGCAAACTTAACCCAAGTAGCTACTAAAAAATCACAGCCCAGGTATACACATATTTTCATTTTATT